AGAGTGAAGGGCCTAGTGGACCCAGCTGAGCCCAGGCTCCAGCCTACTTTCCATCTGAAAGCAGTTGCATGAGTGAGTCCAGGTGAGACCCTCAGCAAAAACCATCCATAGACTTATGGTAGTAAAACCTATCAATGTTTGTTTGTTGTTGCTGTTGTTTTGAGACAGAGTTTTGCTTTTGTCACCCAGGCTAGAGTACAATGGCATGACCTCAGCTCACTGCAGCCTCCACCTCCCAGGTTCAAGGGATTCTCCTGTCTCTGCCTCCTGAGTAGCTGGAATTACAGATGCCTGCCACCATGCCCAGCTAATTTTTTTGTATTTTTAGTAGAGATGGGGTTTCACCATGTTGGCCAGGCTGGTCTTGAACTCCTGACCTCAGGTGATCTGCCCGCTTTGGCCTCCCAAAGTGCTAGGATTACAGGGGTGAGCCACTGCGCCTGGCCAATCAATGTTGTTTTAAGCCTCTATGATTTGGGGTAGTTTATTATGCAGCAATAGATAAGTGATACAGAAACTGGAAGTCAGTCAGTGGCTCTCCTGAGTCTAGAAGGTCTGAAATGATCTCTGACAGTAAGGCACCTCTCTGACAGCTGAGGTGCCTTAGTTCTTCATGTTGCCACTTAGTAGGCTAGCTGGGATTTTTTATAGCATGTTGGTCTCAGGCTTCCAAAAGAGCAATAATCAGAGGTTTCAAGGTCACTTAAGGCCTAACGTTGGAAAGTCACACAGCAACACTGCTGTAGATTGGATATTTGACCCTCCAAACCTCATGTTGAAATTTGATCTCTGATGTTGAAGATAGGGTCTAATGGGAAGTGTTTGGGGGCAGATCTTTCATGAATCACTTGATAACATCTTTGTGGTAACCAGTGAACTCTCTACTGCTCTATTAGTTCCCAGAAGAGCTGGTTGTTGAAAAGGGTCTGACACCTCCCTCCCGTCTCTCTTGCCTCCTTTCTCACCATCTGATCTCTGCAAACCGTTTCCCCTTCCACTTCAGCCATTAATGGAAGCATCTTGAGGCTTCCACCAAATTCAGAAGCCAGCAGCATGCTTCTTGGACAGCCTTCAGAACCGTGAGCCAGATAAACCCCTTTTCTTTATAAACCACCCAGCTTCAGGTATTCTTTTATAGCAACACAAACACAAAGTAAGACAAGCGCTCAAGGGGAGGGGAAATAGACTGCAACTCTTGATGGAAAGAGGGGTAAAGCCACATAGCAAAACAGCCTGTAGGATGCGAGGGATTCTTGTGGTCATATTTGCAAACAGTAAACCACACCAGCTCTAGGCACCTGACTAATGCAAATATTTCTTTCTTTCATTGTGTGTATTCTGAGTTGGCAGTGTGTCAGCAAGAGTTCAGCATAGGGCTTGGCATGTGGTCACACCACTTTAATGCAGCAAAAACACCTAAAGTATTTATGTTCAAAAAGATAGAGATAGTCACTTCTGGGCTGGTGATGAGCATGAAGAGGAAGAGAGGAAGAGGGAAAACAAAAAGAAAGGATTGCCAAGTTTCTGGTAGTCTCTTGTGATATGAATCATGTGTTGTGAAAAGATCCATAATTCTCAGTAATTAGACTGTCCAACAAGCAATGGATTCAGCGTGTCTGACAACCTGACCCAGTGATAGAGGCTGCAGTACCTAAACTTTCTCAGGAGTCTGGCCCATGATGGAGCCCAAGTCATCTTGAAGCAACTGAAAGTCAGGATGAAGAAGGGCCAAAATGCCAGCTTTGTATCCCTCTTTACTTCCTCCAGCTCAGGCAAGTTGGTACTCTCATTTTTGATCTTCTTACAATTCTCTGTTAGGATGAAGGCGTATTCGCTGCCCAGTGCTCAGGCCTCCTTTCAGTGTGGGATTGTAGGTCTCATATGCTTTCTTTTTCCAAGGTTAGGTGTTTCTTAAGCCTTTAGCATGTTTGCATTGTAGCCTTCTATTTAATGGAAACAGTGGTTCCCTTCTATGAACAGAGTGACTCTGGGGAATGCAGGGCACAGTTTTAATAAGAGGCTAGGCAGAAATGGAGTCATGAAAGCTCTAAAAAGCATGACATCACAGCACTATCATTAATAACATGAACTTTAGAATCAGACAGGCTTGAGTTGAATTCTAGTTTTAATCTCATTTTGAGTGTGCTGGCGTGGCAAGTTTCTAATTTTCCAAAAGAAATTATTGCTTATAATTCATCTTCAACATGGGAATTATGATAGTATTAATAACTTATGGGTTTGTTGGAAAGATTGACTGAGTAAGAGTATGTACAAAAGTGAAATGGTGGTTTGGGCCAAAGGAGGAATGCTTAACAACTTTCTTTGAAGTTAATCTTAAGTTGTTAGACCATTTTTAAGGACAGATTTTGGTCTAGGCGTGAAGAAATGGTTCTACTTTAAAAGGCAAAATGTAGGATGAGATGGAAAAGTTTATCTAAAACCCTGAGGCAGAGTTAGATCTGACCTCCTCTGTGCTCCCACAGTATTCTGTACTGATTTCTACCAATAGCATTCATCTCTCTATGTTGTAATGATCTGTTTACACTGCATGGCAGTTTGGGACATTACAATGTGAACTCTTCAAGGTCGGCTACTCTGTCCTGGTCACCTTAGCATCCTAAGTCCCAGCATAGATCATGGACTGAGAGGAGACTGCAGTGTTGGGACGGATGAGTGAGTAGGTTGCCAGCACAATCCACTGGTTAAATCACTCCCCGATTTTTAAAGTCCAGTTTAAATCTCATCTGCTCTAAGAGGTCGCCTTTGGTTTTCATCTACTGTGAGAAATCTCCTTGTCAACTATACAACCTAAGTTATAACTATTGACCTTCGCTTCCTTTAAAAAATATTACTACTAAAAAAATCTCTCTAGATTATAGGGAGAAGTGGTAACCAGCTCCACAAGTTTTCACACATGATATGTACTAGATAAGACATTTATTCAATTCAATATATTAAGTTTAAGTCTTTGAAGGTTATCCTACATGTTGGCTAAGAAATCTTGACAGAGGTGATAATCCCAAGCAAACAAGACCCAGAAGTAAATGTGACCTTATAGCCTATGTATAATATGGAATTTACCCATTAACAAAGCCTAAGAGGCTCCAGATTAAATTATATTGCATCTGTGATATTATTTTAAAACAATTGGCATATAAAAAGTGGCATTAGAATTACAAAAGCTGTCTGCTGTTCTTCAAATTAATTCGCTTTCCCTGAGTTGTTTTTCTAGGAGCAACATGCAAACAAGGAAAACTGACAAATAATAAGATTTTTTTATGGCATTGAAAAAAAAACTTTTGGATGTCATTGATATTACTAAATTTACATTAGATGCATAGGTTGTCTGATTCATTCCATCAGTTTTCACAGTAAGCCATTGTTTATGTGAAATGTCTTCCTTCCCCACTGAGTTGCTGTGTGTGAACATAGCCTAATACAGCACTTACGGACTTCGTTGTAAGCTTGCATGGTTGTCACCCTTGCTGTGGTTTGGTGAAGCCAGGCCTAAGGGAGGGTGTAATTTAAAGCAGGGAGGAGGCATATGGGGAAGGGTCCCTTTTAACACAGAAAAAGCAACTCTGTGGGAATGGAGGCTAGCAATCTGCTCAAAGGAAATGAAAGGAAATTCTTCATTTCTAAATGGTTCATTGACCCATGATAATAAAGCAGGCCTGCCAAAGATGGATAATTATCTTTTTAAGTATCAGATGCCCTGTGGGTGAAGGCCTCCCTACTCCTCTCTTGAGAAATGAACTCCGATTTTAAAAATGCTTCTTTTCATAGTTTACCATTGACATGAATTTCCTGATTATGAGCAAAATTAATCAGTTTCTTCTTTCTTTTCCCCTCTCTCTTATGGAAATCAGGCCTGACCAGCTGAGCTCAGTGTGTTTCCCCTTGGGCTCTGAGTTCTACCAATAGTGGAATGGGGTTGATATTCTAGTGAGACTAGCAATTGCAGAATTATGGTTTTATTATGCCCCTTAGCTGCTTAGCTCCAGGCAGGAGCATGGTGTCTTAAAACAACAAGAAAAAAGAAACAGAAAAACGTGCAAGAGTTTGTTTCTCTTGTTAGTATCTAAAAACTAAACAAATATTTATATATATATATATAGTGCGTGTATATACACACATGTGCATACATATGTGTATAGTAACTGAAATGTTACTGATGGGGTAACAGTGAATGTTGATTTCCTATCAGTAATTAATCAAATTTCTATCCTTTTTTTCTCTAGATCTTGTATGTTGCTGAGAACAGTAATGTAAATATGTTGCCTTGTCTAACTTGCAGAATGCATTAAGAATGTTTTATTTGAATAACGAGACAACCTCTTTCTTTCACGATTTAACTTCAAATGTCTTCTTTTGGATTCTAGAAAAAAAATCAGTCTAAGGAACTCTTGTCATAAACTGCTTAACCACATGGCACATTTCTTAGTTATGGATAAAGTTCACTATACATTTTCAGAATGTCTACACTCTTTTAAAAATAAAATAAACATCTACTTTTGTATGTTCATTGCATAGTTGTCTTATTTCTCTAAAGAGATAATTTAAATTAAAAATTTATCACCATGTTCTACCTAGAGAAACCAAGTGGATATTCCAGTTGCTTCTTCAACCTAGTGCCTTTGGCAGCTGAAGCGGACACAGCTTTAGAATAGGGGTCAAGAGATAATGGTCTAGAATAGATCTGGTCTCCTGGCATAATTATCTCACCGTACACTTGAGTCTCTCTGTACACGTATGTCCCTTTCTTTTGCGAGAAATTCTTCTGTGTACCACAGCTTCTCCTTCAAAGTGTAATTATCCATGTATGGAATCTCTCTTTGAACTCTTTGGAGTTGACTGGATGGTAAATATCTGTTTCTTCATTGCTTAGTCTTTGAGAGTTCAGGCCCTGGTCCAAGAGGATTCAATCCTGTGGGTATAAACTGCTTGGTTAGAACACTACCCAAAGCCAGCAGCATGGACCTTAACAGACCTTGCTACAGATGTCCTTGTGTGCCCGCTGCGGCCAGTGGAGCGCTTCCGCGACCTGCGTCCTGATGAAGTGGCTGATTTGTTTCAGGTGACCCAGAGAGTCGGGACAGTGGTGGAAAAACATTTCCACGGGACATCTCTCACCTTTTCCATGCAGGTGAGTGTACAGATTACTCAGAAATGATTTTTCTTCCTTTTCAAATCCCGACATTGGGCTCGCTCCTCCTGACATCTCACCAGGAAGGCAGATGTGATTGTTAGTATTTTATGTAGCAGCCGAAAAAAGATGTTATTAATGCAGGGCAGCCCTAGTGTCCATCGGCCCCAAGATGGACCATGGAATAGCATCGAAGGCGATGTCTGAGGCTTCTTTGCCAAGCAGGTGGGAGTAATGGGTAAGTGATTTAATGGACATTCAGACATTCCAGATTGCTTACTGGCACTGGGACTGGAGAAATCATTTTCATTCCATGGTAACTGATTTTTGAGCACTGCATGGACAAAGCCCTGCTCTAATTCCAGGGTGGCAGTGATATGCAGCTTAGGTTGGGCCTTACCTTTTGTCTGTCTTTAATTCAAGCTGCAGAGGTTGATCACAGATTAGTTAGAAGCTAGATTGACTGGTTGGGTGTGGCCTACTAACCAGTAAAGAAATCCAATCCCCAGTCACTGGAGATTTTTAGGCAGAGGTTGAACCAACACTTCTCAGGTTGGGAGAAGGATGTCCATGGTGAGTCATCAATAGGGAATTGAGTAAATCCGTAGTAACATACCATGAGCTCCTTCAGGTCCTCTATGGAAAGGGCTGATGTGTCAATGCATAAAGTCCTTCATGGCTCTGAAATTGGATGACTCTGTAATTGCCCTTTGGAAGGACACACTTTCAAAACGTGGGGATTCTGTACCCAGCCTGTTAAACTGAATGTTTCATTCTTCCTCCCCTCCTCAGCAATCTACCATAGAGCTTCAAAGAGACCAGATAAAGAAAGCCAGTGTTTTCAGGTTATAAAGGCTCTAACTAAAAGTGCTCATCTTCTCAAACAGATTTTTTTTCTTTCTTTTTTTGCTGCCATGTCTGTGTTAAGAGTAGCTAAACTTCCCCCAAATGCTTTGTGTATGTGTGTTGCATGTCAAACCATCTGAGTCACCTCTAGGCAGGGAGTTTAGCTCAGAGTGGGTTTATCTAGCTTATGTTGCAAATGGTGTTCCTGGAGAGGCCAAACGAAGGCAGTGAATGAAAACCTCTCTTAATGTTTAGTGAGATACAAGAATAAAAATCACATTTATAGGAAATGACCATTGCTGGTTATGAAACATATTTCACTAGAAAGATAATTCCATACATGTAAGAGCTGACTTGTGTTACCACCTAGAGTACTTTCGTATATGCAATGTGGTCAAACTTTTTTTTTACTGTAACTTACAGCAAGATATATATTTATTTCAAAATCATGCATGTCCCCCCTGACACGCATATATGAAATACATGCATATGCCTATATTGATAAAGTAAACCAGAGTTTCACAAAACAATGTTTACTCATTCTGTGCAGTCTAATAGTTTTTATTCTATTAAGATCTGATTTCTGGCTGGGTGCGGTGGTTCACGCCTGTAATCCCAGCACTTTGGGAGACTAAGACCAGCAGCTCTCTTGAGCTCAGGAGTTTGAGATTAGCCTGGGCAACACGGCAAAACCCTGTCCCTAAAAAAATACAAAAATTAGCCAGGCATGATGGTGCATGCCTGTAGTCCCAGTTACTTGGGAGACTGAGGCAGGAGAATCACTTGAGTCCAGAAGGTCAAGGCTACAGTGAGCTGCCATCATGCCACCACACTCTGGTCTGGACAGCTGAGTAAGACCCTGTATAAAACAACAACAACAGCAACAACAAAAACACCTGATTTATTTTGTTTGTAATGCTGATTGCAACCTATTACGTTGACTTCATGACCCACTAATGGGTTGTGACTCAAAGTTTGAAAATCCCTGATATACACAGTTGCACTTAATCCTTGCCATAGCAGGGCAGGAGTTCTCACCCCATCAGTCAGGCTCATAGAGGTAGACAGACTTGGCTAAAGTTGCAGAAGCCAAATTCTATTTTGGAATTTCTGGTTGTGGAGCTATTGCTTGTTTTGCCATCTCAACCAACTGAGTATCTGCTTTTGCTTTTTATTATGGCCGGTTACTTGGTGAGTTTGCTCATTTTCAACTAAGCTTCAGAAACAGAGAAAGGGAACCAGGTTGGGAAAAGGGTCCAGCTACAATGAACACTACCACTGGTCTCCCCCAAGGTCAGAATAGCCAGAGAGGACTCTTCCCATATGAAATACCCCATATTCTTGCTTAATGGCTTATGTTTATAGCAGATTTCCTGAGTAGAAGCTTAAAATAATCAGACTTTAATTAAACCACATCTAAAGATAACCAAAAGGTGTGATACTTCACCTCCCCAAACATTTTCAGCCTTCCTTTAATGCAGTTAAAACCATAGCCAAGAGCAAAGAGCATGAAAAGTAGCAAGGAGTTGGCTTGCTGGATAATTTATATCATTTTTATACATAACTTCTCACTTACTCTCAGGCGGAAATGGAGAACTGTCTAGTCCCACACATTTGAAGCCAATGGTCCCCATGAGAATACTATAAATTAACACACAATGAAATTGCATCTAAATTATTAATGGGTGATATTTCTGAATAAGAAGGAGATACCATCTATCTATTCTCACCTCTGTTGGTTTTTTCCTACTTCTAGGATGGCCCCGAAGCTGGACAGACTGTGAAGGTGAGTGCTTATTATGTGCATACAAATTAATAAGAGGCGATTATGAGAACTAATAAAAAATCACAACGAGTCATTTGCAGCACATTGCTGTTTCATTATGTTATCTTCGAGGTCAGAGAGACCCTCAGTGTTAGAGCCATAAATCCTGACATTATAAACTCTGCCAAACAATATGTTTCCCATTAGTTTACAAGACATTTACTTTTAGTAGTAAAATTATTATTGTGCAAATACTAAAACAGAAACTAAATCAAGGAGTCCGGAAACAGAAGTCAAAGTGGTTTGTGTGCAGGAGTGTCTAGGAAATAGCATGTGAGCTTTCTGTGGGTTTTTGCAGACCCATGTTAAGCCTGGGGTGTCTTTGACACACCTCTGCTTCTTGACATAGTCTGCTTTTGCTTCATTGTTCTTGAGCGTAGGGATAACCGCAGCAGTAGCATCAAGCTGCCTCCCTTCCTTCCTGTCTCTGTGCTTCTCTCTGTTCTCCTTCTCGTCACCCCCACACCTACTCTTTTCCTCCCTATGTACTTAATACCAAAGTTCAAACCTAATGGAGTCAGTGGAGCTCAAAGATGGGTTTTTAAGTGTGCTAGGAGAAGAAAGGAGGATTTATTAGGATAGTCTCTGCTTCTGTAGTAAAAATAAAATAATAAAATCCTGGCTGATTCAGAAGCTGGGTTTCAGCTCTTTTCATACAAACACTAATTCCTATATGGGTAGATCCTGCACCTAAGTCACAGAAAAGGCTCTATTTTTTTTTTTTTTTTTTTGAAGTCAGACACAAGTCAGGCTGGGATGTTAATGTTACACTTTGTTGAAATAAAGTTTAATGGTTCGAAGACTAGCTGTGAGTGGATAAGGTGATGCCCGCACAAACAATGCCAAATAAACGTAAGTTCCCTTTTGATCTTACTTTACTTTTGACTTTAACACAGCTATTCTGGGACTTTTAAAATAGAATCTCTGGGAAATACCTCTAAGAAGTGAAAGTTTATGTAAGGACTGCCACCATATGAGCCACCAAATTCCTTATCATAAAAAAAGGGCTAGCCTCCTAATTGCTCTACACACAGGGTGTGGTGATAGACACAGACTTTCAGCTTTCCTCTATCCCACTGTCTCACCTCCATGTGAGGCTCTAAATATACAGATGCAAAGAAAGGATTTAATACCTGTGGCTTGTTTTTGAAATCAATTCTTGAAGTGCAAAACAAAAATGTTTAAACTTGGTTCCCAGATTTTTTAAAACTCAGTATTCAAATGTAAATTCAAACTATACCGGCTTGGTTAGATGCACTATGCAATATCTGTTTGATAGAATTCCTTCAGCCATTGAAAGTCATACCGTAGAGGCATAGCTAGTAACATGGGAGAATGCACAAACTGTATTAAGTGGAATGCACAGAATGATAATAGGTACATAGTGAGCGTAGCTGAAACTTATATGAATAGATAGGTTATATGATCTCAAAATTTCATTTAGCCATTCTAAAACAGGATAGAAAATATTTGCTATACAACAGGCTCTGAATAGAGACAGAAAGTAGATTAGTGGTTGCCAGGGACTAGGACAAGGAAGGAATGGGGAATGATTCCTAATGGGTACAGGTTTCTTTTAGGGTAATGAAAATGTTGTGGACTTAGTGATGATGGTTGTGCAACATTGTGAGTATAATAAAGCCACTGAATTGTATGTTTTAAAATGGCGAATTTTATGATATTTGAATTATCTCTTGACTAAAAATAATATACACACACTCACACACACACAACAAATAAGCAGTGAGCCTAGCTGGACTGATAACTATGGCTATAGAGTGTGTAACTCCAATAGTAATTACTTTTTGATGTCCCAATTATCTGGTCAAAATGTGTTAATTTTTTTGTTAGCTTTGATGGTGATGATGATGGACTAATTCTTAACATCTAGTACTTATATATGAATTGTTGAATGTGGTTATTGTTATCACGACCCTGATTATTTAGCTTAAGTTGATTTTTTTAAAAGCAATTCTGTTTTTTAAATCAGCAGATTATGTTGTTTTGCACATCTTTCAATTGTTTCCAACCTGATCACAGAAGTCCCCTGATATGAATTAATGGGGATATCTTGACTCATTTGTAGAATACGGTGGTTAAAAGAAAACCACCACACACACACACACACACACACACACACACACACACACACGTAAAATCCCAGAGAACAATGAAGGTTCCAAAGCTGTCCTTTAGACAAAGTATCCATATCTAAAGTTGTTGAATCTGCTTTTTAAAATGTGATCTTTCTATCACCTGCATGAAAATTAACTTTGATATCAGTTAACAGCAACAAAAAGTTGATTCTCAGGTCTTATTCTAAACCTACTTATTTAGAATATTGTGATTGGGGCTTGGGAATCTTCACTATTAACAAGCACATCCCATGATACATATTTGCCAGCCTCAGTATTGTATGATGATAAAATATTGAGTGGCAGTGGTCACATAATTATGACCCCTGGAAGCCAGTCTTGCAGTAGCCAGCCCCTCTAGGGGACAAAGCAGCATCTTTAATATTCAGCTGTCCAGTTGGGAAAACTACAATTCAAGACTCTGAGCATTTCATATTTTGAAATTCACACAGTTGCACATTTTAAGGCAGCATTTGACAACCTGCCATGGAAAGCACAGTGACTGTTCTCTTCATCTTTGCCTCCGTGTCTCATTCTTGATATTCTGCCTGATCCCTGGGTTCTAAACCATTTTTGTCTCATGCTGAGTGGTAATAGCAATAAGCCCGGTAATGGTCTTTGCCCCTGGAGCACCTGTTGTTATTGTTAATGAAGGCGCACCACTGAGTTAGCCTCTTGAACATGATACCACTGTAGGGTTTTTTGTTTCAGGAGCTTTAAATTCTGCTTTGCAAAGAACAAGGGTGGCCTCGCTTACTCAGTAAGGCACTTGTAGTCAGGAAAGGGAAATATCGAAGTGAAAAAGTGACCTCTTATTTCACAATTGATTATTAACTCTCCTTTTTGGGTGTAAAAGCAGTAGAACCCTGCCATCCACAAGGTGATTATTGCAGCAGTTTGATGTCCTGCAGGCTTGAGAAATAATCTTTTTCTTTCATCTTCAACCATACAGATCCAAACAGCTCCCCTGACCGTTCATCTGAAGTAGCTCTCTTAAACCCCTGCTCTCTGTCCTGGTGCATGGTTTGATTTCTCTCAAGGTGTTCTTCGTTGTCTTTTATTTGTTTGGCTATGCACCTGTACCTCTGTCTTTTCTCTAATTCTTTGAGAAGGTAAGCTTGTGAGGACCTGGATTTTGTCATTGTTTATGATAGGTCTCAGGACATGCTACCCCCAAAATATGCTAGCTCTGCATACTGAGTATTTTAAGGCGAAGGAAACTGAGAAAACTACAGAAGCAGGAAGATCGCTCTCTGACCTTCTTCCATTTGTCTACCCTCAAGTGTGCCGTAAAAGAATTATCTGACCTGTCACCCCTGCAAGTAGGTCATAAGGCCCTCATTCCAGAGGAGTTGTGCCCTCTACTTACATGCCAAGAAGAATCTGAACAAACAGGCCTTGTTAAGTTTTCCCCAATTTATTACCGTCAAGTCATACTCTTTTATAGTCCAATCATACCTCTGCATGACTGTCCATAAAAATACACAGTTGTCTTTAGGTCTTTATTTCTGAAGGCTCCCATGGCACATAAAACTTATATTAAATACATTTGTTCGGCTTTTCTCTTGTTAATCTGTATTGTGTTACAGGGGTCTGAGCCATGAACCAGGCAATGGGTAAGGAAATGATATGGCTTTTTCTGCCCTGTATTTTTTTTTTTTTTTTTTTTTTTTTTTTTTTTTTTGAGATGGAGTCTCACTCTGTCGCCCAGGCTGGGGTGCAGTGGCCGGATCTCAGTTCGCTGCAAGCTCCGCCTCCCGGGTTTACGCCATTCTCCTGCCTCAGCCTCCCGAGTAGCTGGGACTGCAGGCGCCCGCCACCTCGCCCAGCTAGTTTTTTTGTATTTTTTAGTAGAGACGGGGTTTCACCGTGTTCTCCAGGATGGTCTCGATCTCCTGACCTCGTGATCCGCCCGTCTCGGCCTCCCAAACTGCTGGGATTACAGGCTTGAGCCACCGCGCCCAGCATGCTCTGTATTTTCTATGGCTATTTTGTGTGGGGAAGGGAATGATGATGATAATGGAACTTTGCTTGTTGCTTGTTGGAACAAATCTCATAAGTTTCTAACTTTAGTTAACATGAAGTAGAAGGTGATATGTATGTGTATTCCAGCATGCAGTCGGGTATTCCTGGAATCTCTATCAAAAGTCTCCTATATTCCAGGTGTTACTAACAAAGGCAAAATTTCCATGAATCAAGTTCTCAAATCGTGTTCCAAAATGTAATTCCATCTAACCAAACCATTAAGGCCATATTCATTCCTTTAGAAGCGAAGCTGCTTAATAAGTTTAATGTGAGCTTTCTTTTAGAAAAATTGGTATGTACATCTTTGGGTGGGAGGCCGTTTTAGGTATATTAAAGAGAGATTTATTCCAGGCAGGTAATCTGGAATGTCATAAGAACTATTTATAGATTACGCTTGCTTACACTCTTCTATGTTTATGGTACTTGAATCTTCTACCTAGAAATTTAATTTTATAGTATTAATGTAGTGGGAAGTAGCTGTTAATAACTTTTGAGATATTAGAAATTACTTTTTAGATTGCTCTAGAAGAATAAGATAATTATTTATAGAAGTATAATTCAAAAATTAAAGGAGATAAAAAGGAAGCTCTTCTCTTCACTGAGAAGTTTCTGTGGTTCTAGAACAAATTTTCCACCCAAAAATTTGGTAATGTTTCAGATTCATGAAAATGAGGACATTTTATCTCTTAATTAAGTCTAGTAGTTAACATACTTTGGCATCAGTCAGAGATTCCATTAGGAATATTAGCCCCTATTAACTTCCTAACTGTGCACCTTTGGATCAGCCTTTTAGCCTCTGTG